CGCCCCCTTGACAAGTTTTGACGTGGCGAATGCTCAAAATAGTGTATTGGCCACGTCAAAATTTGTCAAGTGGGCTGGATTGGAGTACCGCCCCCTCTTTGCAAACTGGTCCGGTGCGATTTTCTCGCTTCAGATTCCACCTTTTTCAGACTTGAACTATTGCGTTAGCCAGGAGCCATGCTTTCACAATGTCTCAAGATCCCAATACCCCCAAGCTGATCTAGACAATGCCTTTAATCGTGCTTACCGGTCTAGCAGTGAAACGAGCAGACGGGGGAAGTGCCATCAATCGCTTGTCGTCCTCCGATAAAGTGCCAGGTTCTTGTTTTTCCAGCTCGTTAACCAGTAAGTGACGTAGCTGAAGATAAAAGTATATGGAGAATAGGAAACAATCTCGCAGTGAAATTATCAAAACACATTCATCCCATTTTCATATCAGTTCTCGTTGAGTGCCGATATGATATTTGAAAGGAAAGGTAAAAAAAGGGACACACCCGAATCTCTGGCGGAAATCCGACAAAAAGCTGCTGGATATGTGCAAGAGCAGCGCAGATGGGACTCGGCTCGGTTTTCTTCACTGCTATAACTTTTTCGATGCACTTCTCCCTAAACCAAACAACTTTACAATAAAATACTGAAGCACAGGAATCCTAGGACCTCAGCGATGGTGATAAAAACACTTTGGACGTTCTCATATGAACCATAACAACGGGCAGTTCGCCCAAAATCTCATCGTAGAAATCCACAGCCGCCTGGAAGATTGATTCGAAGATGTGAAGGAAGAACCGAAAAGTAAGGAAACATACCCCGAAGTCTCCTGAAGAGCACATATTATCTAGCAACCTTCGTTGCTGAGGGTCGCAATCCTGCTCAACTTCATCAATGACTTCTTTACAAAACATATCATAGAGTTCGTCCGTAATCTGGTCCAGCTGCAAGGAAAAGTTAAGTAAATTACACAAAAACAGAAGGATTTGGTAAGTTAAGCTAAGAATACTTACGCGAACATAATTCTCAGGCACAGGATTTGGCGGAAATCCTCTCTTTGGCATGCGGATATATGCTACAAAAACAGAAGCTGATAAAAAACAGCAATATTATGAAAAACCTTACTTTTTGGTACAGGAGCTGGCGTTATCGTCTTCATATGAGAGCTGTGGGATTGCGGCTCGGATGTTGAGTCCTAAACGAATGCACTGTTAGAAAGATTTACGCTTTTTCTAAGTCAGACTGCCTTCAATTGTATAGTAAACTGATGATCTACTATATGGTTAATTCTCTGAAAGAATATTAAAATTTCTAGCACTATACTTTGATCGCATACATGTCAAAATCTTGCCTAGAAAAAGGGCTGAACATCCTGAAACAAATGCTGCCATCAGGCAATTTTTGGGGTAGAGAAAGGTCGAAACTAGACAAACGTCACTCATTCTCTCTGACTAAAAGACACGAACACGCTTTGCGTACGTCTAATCAACTAGTTCATGAGATGTTTTAACGCGTTTTGGATGACTTATTATGAGAAATCATGGAAAAACGTGTTCGAGCTCAAAACAACGCGAGTTCGAACATGTTCTTTCAAGATTCTCTATTAGTAGTTTACCAAAACGCACTAAAATGCACTCTGCATTTGATCAGACGTAAGGAAAGCATGCTCGTGCCTCTTATTATTATTAGAAGGAGAATGAATGATATGTGCTAAATGACTCTTCTCAGTGAGGTCTCAAACAATCCAAAGGTCGGGCAGCTCCTCACAAGGTAGCCTTGTTAGTCGGAGCGGCCTTTTTAGACGGGATACCATACTAGAAAGCATAAAATGCTAATTCCAAATCTGCTTCCTTATCTGCGGAACGCTCATGGACGAGAAGTTAGGGGAGTTTTTGAAGTAAAAAAGTGCATTCAAGATAAAACGAGTTGTTAAAACTATTCTAGTCCTCAAATAAAGCAACTAAGTGTGATATAATTTTATCTGGAAGTTTTTATTGTATGACGTGCTTTGATAATCATCACCGCACCACTGAAACGCTGAAAAAAGTATTACAAAAATTTTGTCTTATCCCGTGTAATTTTCTCTAGTAAAAGCTCATTTTCGTCCTCAAATGCTCTGCAATATGGTATACATCACACACCTAAAAAGGCTAGTTCGACTAAACATGGTCCCCTTGTCAGTGTATAAGAACCCGCCGCTGCTCAATTGGCTCAAAAAATCTTTCCTGAAATTCTTTCGCTGATATCTAATAACACATGAAAACATACCGGCTGGGACTGCGGCTCGTTGTCCGACATGATGGAGCAACGTGCTCTGATTGCTTGGTAAGATTTTAGTGATTGCCAGTGACCTGCAAATTAGACTGACTTTAGCTCAGCGTGGATTGGAAACCCGAAAGTTTGGGGAGCAAGTCTTGGCAAATACAACATGTTGGAGAATTATAGATTGCTAGCGGACCCAGCACAAGTCGCGGAGCCTACACCGAAGGTAGCCAAAGAGAAAATATGTAGACTCTTGTACACACCCTGAGAGGCCTGAACCAAGTCATGCCCAAGCGACAGCCCATATGATTCATCCCTCGCCGAGATACTCTCTGTGCTCCGGCCCAGAACATATCGATAGCGCCCTAGTACGGTAAGAAAGGTCTAGGCCAAAATCATTGATATCTCGGCTACACATGTATTTAACCTGTGAGTTACCGTTTAGGCAATGACTTGCAACCCCCCCCCCCTCCCCCGAAACTTCCCCATCGTTTTCCACATGAAGAATAGAACCTAGGTTCGTCTGAAACAACCTTCTGCTTGATTGAAGTTTTGTTCATGAGTCGAGGCAACACGCACCCCTAGCAAAAGAAGTCTATTTTGTGTTCTAGATAAATAAGTACACGATGAAAAAGAAGAGGGATAAAGTGAGTCTTCACCACTCATCCCCATCTCCTGATCTAATGATTCCTGACTGCTTCTTTCTACGTTTACATAACGATCTTAAACTCCCAACTAACAATAAGATAATCCAACCCATTTCCCCACTGGAACCGTTTTAATGGAGCAGAAATTGAGAAGCAATTTGAAAATTACTGCTTCCAGACAAATTTTAAACGAGCAGATGCCTCAAAGGCGTTACGCTCGCCGCACGCGACGCAAGAATCAACCGTCGTCCACGTTAAGCGTGCAGCCCCATTGATTGTGCGGAG